TTTCACTCACTTTTATTTATTATTTTACATAGATATTTTTTTGTAGTCCCGCCTAATGCTTAAATTTATCATCCAAAATTCAAAAAGAAAATCTATATTTTTAGGGATATTGTTAGCCCATTAGCCCGTGAAATTTGTTATATATGATTCGAGTGTGGCTGAGTCATGACCGATAAATGGTGCCAAGTGAAAGATGGTAAAAGACAAAAACACATAGTTCAATGAGCGGTCGAGTAGTAGACATCTATTTGGGTGCCTGTCTAAGAACGCAAGGAATGATTATCGACGGTTGAGCAATGGCGTGGCTTGACGTACAACCGACACGAGCTAGGAACGAGGAGTAAGACTTAGGGATGTCAAGAGTGAGTCTTGGCAGTCCGACACAAGATTGCGGACAAGGGTCTTGGACGTTTGCAGAGCGATTAAGGCCTGAAAAACATGGAAAATACCCATTTGTAATTTGTAATAGTAGGTCAAGTGGCTTTTCAGCGTACCGGACGTCATGTATTCATAGATAGTTTTAGCAGTAGGAAGTAGGAACTTACTAATTAATTTTGTTTTTTCCATTCAAAAAAATAAAAAAATAACTTTTTTGATGTATTCTTAAATCTATTTATGTAATTACAATAAAGTCCTGTAATATAATTCTTTCAAGCTCCAAACTCCATTACCAGATTTATATCCCCTCTTCTGTTCTTCCTTTCCCCCCTTTCGTCAAATCCCTAAAATTCTAATTCGAATCCAGCCAGTCCATTTCCGATCGCCACTGCCCAACTGATTCCAACGATTCGCCGGAGATTCCTCGATAAATATTTACATCCCATTCCGGTAAGCTCTCCATCACTTCAAATACGATTAATCCAATTCGTCTTTATGCTTTCATGGTACCGATAGAGTTACTCCGTACGAAAATTCCTTACACTGCATTTGAAACTGTAGATGGTCGGAATCTCTTCAGTAACCAGTTCAGGTTTAATTTCCCTTTCTTCGGCTTTTTTTGAAAGTTTTTTTTTTCTTTCGAAAATTAAGTAATTGTTGAATGTAATTGAATTAGCTTTCTTTCGTTTTAATTTTATTTTGGGCGTAATTGATTTTCGGTACTATCTTATCTGATTAATTTTACACACTAAGATTTTTTTTTCTTTTCTTCTACATTTCAGTCTTCAATTCGTATGTCAATGGTGGGAGTTCTCTTGTTTATTTTTTTCATTTTTTTTTTTATTTATGTTTGTCAATGGCATTTTTTTAGGTTTAACATAGGTTGTGTGTTGTGACAAGGGTTTGGATGAAGTCTGTTTTGTTTGGGGAAAGTGATAGCTTTTATGATTAAATTCTATTTGAATTTGATCTAATGAGCGATGGGATGAAATGTGCGTTTGAAGCACGTGGATAGATACGGAAGTTGTAATAAATGCGAAGTTTGGAATCTTCTCGTTGTCCGTTGCGCCAGATTTATGGCTACTTAGCGAGAGTAGCGACTTAATAGATGATAGCTCTAATTAAGGGAAGTGAGTACAATGTGTATATATAGACACACACACACACACACACACACACACACACACACACACACACACACACACACACACACACACACACACACACACACACACACACACACACACACAAACACACACCACACACCACACACACACACCATGGTATGTATGTTGAACAAAAGTGGAGATCGTTCTACCGATTTGTCGTTCATGGGATATGGAAAAGTGTGGGTTTTCCGATATAGAGATTTGCTAAAAGACTTGATTTCGGCATTTCGCCATTCATTTATATTATTGCCTTAGTTTAAAACAAGATTCTGCTTTTGTTTCTATGTCCCAGTAAAACAAGCCTTTATTTACAATTCTTGTTCTTTTTGTAAAGAGAAGTCTTACACGGAAGTTATTTCATGGGTTAGATGCAGAATCTTTTTATTGCATAAAGTGCTAGTGTCAAATTTCTTTATGCCGTAGTCTTGCTCGAAGTGAAAAATATTTGTGCAGTAATTAAGCTCATGTTCTTAAATGAAGGTTTTTTCGATGCCATATAAACTAGAGAAACGGCGGCATTCTGACTTCTCACTACAAAAAAAACTTCTTTTGTGACAATCTTTGTGACAAAAATAATTATTTTCCCATTATTGATGAGAAATTGTGACGAAAACTTAAACCGTCGCCTAAATTTTTTACGACAAAAAATATTTTTTTGTCACATTAATTAAGTTCAATGTTAGAATAGTTAAAAAATTGCCCGAAAAATATGGGAGGCATGTTGTGACAATTGGCGGACACAATTGTGAGACAGAGATTAGTTTTCTTAGATGAGATAGTTTCGTACTCGGAACAATTTTTTTGTTATAAAATTAATTTTGTCAAGATATAAAATCTGTGTTTGGAAGCGGCATTCTTTGATTGCATTCGTAGTTTATTTTCTATACAGCATGTGATTTTGGATTAGTAAGGGTGAGGTGAATGTGATTAGCTTTGGATTCGTAGTTTTCTTGCACGTTTTAAATTTTTATTGATGGTAACTCTTTTTTGCAGATAGAAAAACGGAGTGAGATACAATTTCAACTTGAATTCCAACTGAAATTTATTATAGAGACTCGACTAAAGGTAAATCTAGTTACTACATAATGTTTTTTTCTGGGTAGTGAGATTGATCCAGTTTGAATGTTCTGAACGCTTTACGTGTTTTTTATGGATTGTGTTTGAAACCTTTAGAATTTTAATTGCAGTTA